GGTTGAGGAGAATTGAAAAAAATTTTTCTTGCAAAAATGTATTCAAATTTTGTAAATAAACTAGTAGAAAAATGAAAAAAATTAAAATTAAAAAAACCTAGGGAGTTCTGGTGGCTTAGTGATAAGTAGTTGCACAGCCAACCCAAAGGCATGGAGTTCAAATTCACCAGCTATTTCATGGGAGAAAGATGGACAATCTCCTCCCATAAGATTAAATGCCTCTGAAAACCTGCTGGTAAGAGTCAGCTATGGGTTGGTTCCAACTCAGTGATACAGAATTACACTATACACAACTATATATATGCACAACACTATACAATGAAAATGTTTTCTGTGAATCTCTTAGGTAAGTCTGTAAGATAAGTATGTAGAGACCCTCTCTTCTTTCATTTCGTTTTTAAGTTAGTTTTACTGTGGCTAACAGAGGACCTAACACATAGCAGCCCTCAAGACAAGCCTGCTGAATGACCAACTGATGATAGCTCTCCAGCCCCACAAACAGCTAGAACAGCGGTCACATTGGTGCTGTCAATGGAAAGTTCAAGAAAGGTCCCCATCATTTAGCCATCCACTCACCCACTAATTTATTTCTCTCACACCACACACACACACACACACACTTATCTACTAAACAAACTGTTCTAAAAATACATTTCAGTGCAGTAAGAATTCAACTCTACAAAAGTGGAGAGGGCTGACAGTATGAAAACCCATGGATGAGTTCTCACACCACCACCAAAGCTGCACCATCTATGTCCTCCCTTCTTAGGCCCTTATTTTTCATCACAATTTAGCATCAGTTCCTCACGGTCCATTGAAATGGATGAAGACAAAAGGTCTCCGTTTTGTAGTTCTTAAATTTTATGTGCGGAACACATGCATTACATATTCAAACCTCAGCTCATTTCTACTTGAAGGTCCCTTCAAGAAAGCAGGAGCTCTGATGAGTCATCTGTAGGGAGCTATACTGCTAGTACAATAGTCACAACACTTTGGTGGTTTAAATCCACCAGTGGCACCAGTGGGAGAAAGATGAGCAATCACCTTCTGTGCCATTTCTAGCCTTGGAAATCCAGTGAGGGGGCACAGCTCTAAGTTGGTTCAACTCAAAGTCAATGAGGGCGAGGGAGCCAGGGAACGAGGGCACCCACAGCACGTAGTCCATGCAGCATGGTCTTGGCTACACCTCCTTGAGTAGCTCCCTGGGCCTCGGAGTTTCCTCATTAAGCAAGGGGCTTCTGATCACCATTGAGACTGCATCCCGCTCTGAGGTGAGAGATGTGTGGATGCTAAAGATCCTGCTTTCCCAGATGAGATCTCCAAGATGGGGAAGATTCAAGAGCCTGGGAGGCTGCCTCCCTTTGTTGAGGGGTCAGAAAATCAGTGACTTAGATATCAACTCATTCTGAAACATATTTAAAATAAGGAAACTTGCTGTGCAGGTCACACCAAGCCTTGCTACGTAAATCACCCTTGCCCTTAGTCACCTTCCTCATTCAGGCCCTCAAAGTCACAGCCACAAGTCAATCAGTAACATTCTTGTGGTTTCATAGCAGAGAAATGATGAGAGACTACTAGATTTTCAGCCATTTATATGTGACTACAAATAGAGAGGCCAAATTTTGCCACTTTGTAATTATTCCAAATGAAATAAATAACCACTCCAAAACTCCCAACATGTTTTTAGTCACTTCAAGCAGGATAATAACAAAGAAAAATATAACTAGAACTGAACCCAAGTAACAATTAAGCATTTAACTTTAAGAGAAGGTTCAACTCACCAACTTCAGTGCCTTTTCCCAGAGTAAAGGTAATTCCATACCCCTTGAGTCCATCTTCTGCATCGGTCTCAACTGTAACATAGGCAGCTGAGTAGTCAGGGTCTGTGTGCTGCAGGAAGAGCCCCACCCCAAAGAACACAAACTGAGATACAAAAACATGGGCACAACAGCATACAAGACTGAGGAATGTAGCAGAGGCCTGCTAGAAAATCTCCTTCCTAATGAGACCATTGATGTACCTCAAAGAAAATGCAGGGGCTCTGAATGGACAAGACGTTCTCGTGATGGAGCCAATTCACTTTAGCAAATATAAGGTACACATTTTTAATGCCAGTTTATGTCTTTTTTGGTTTTCAGTTCCTTTTTAAACCCAGACCGTCATCTCCATGCTTTGAACAGAATAACATTCAGCAGCAGCAAAAATTGAATCAAGTCAGTTTCAGAAAGCTTTCATATAAAATTACATTTATCATCAATACAGGAGTTTATTGCAGAGCTTAAAATATAATGGCATAAGTTAAGAGAGATGATTGGGGGAGGGAGGAGGAAGAAACAGAGCTTCAAGGTAAAAAAACTAACCTATGTTTATTTTTTTTCTGTTCTGTTTTGACTTTTACTATCAAACAGTGTATACACACACACACACATACACACACACACACATACACACTTATCAAACTCAATCTGTGATATGGGACATGCAAAAGTAAAATAAATTTGCTTTAAGAATATATCATACAGCAGGGAGAAGAAGCCAACATACAGGAACATGAGAGAACTTGGGAGAGTAAAAGTTTACCTGCTGAGGTGTGGTCACTTACAAGTGATAGAGAAATTCACTTAGAGCAAAGAGGAAACAGAATCTGAAGGAGCTCCTATGGGACAAACACAAGTTGCATAGTCTGGGAAAAGAGGCTGACCTATAATATTATTAAAATAAAGAAACTTGTTGTGCAGGTCATACTAAACCTTTCTATGTAAGTCATCACCCATTCCCTTAGTCACACTAGGTGAGGAAGCAAACAAGGACCTTTGTATTATAAAGAAGCAAAAGGCCCATGCCAACACAAGATTAACAGTAAATAAAGATCAGATAGTGTGGGATACTGGGGTATGGGGTATTGCATTGGGAGAGTCTGCTGTCAGAGACCTCTCCAAAGTACTGAAAAGCAACGATGCCAGTCTGGAAACTAAGGTGCACCTGATACAGGCCATGGTCTTTGCAATCATTATGTATCAGAGAACTGGACAATGACAAGGGATGGTAGAAGAAGAATAGATGCTGTGAGCTGTGGTGCTGGAGAAGAGTATTGAATATACCATGGACGGCTAGGAGAACAAACACGTTTGTCTTAGAAAGGGTGAGACCAGGCTGCTCCTTGGAAGCAAGGATTCTGAAGCTTCATCTGACATACTTTGGACATGTCGCAAGGTGGGACTAGTTCTTGGAGAGGGACGTCATGCTTGGGAGGGTGGAGAGACAGCGCAGGAGAGGAAGATTCTAGATGAGATAGATTGGTTGTTCTTCTCCAGCACCACAGCTCAAAGGCATCAATTATCCTAAACAAGGGCAGAAGATCTGAATATAAGATGCAAGTCTTAAAGAATTTTGCATGTGTTCTGTAAGCTCATTCTTATATAACCTTTATTTTGCTAGGCGTTATTCCAAGAGTTTAAATGACCTAATTTAACACTCAAAACAATATTATACAATAGGCAGTAATTCCCATGAAAAATCGACTTTTAAAAGTGCTTTAAAGACTTTTAAAAACTGCTTTAAAGCAGTTTAATAACTTATCCAGGATAGCATGACCTGTAAATTCTAGAAGGAGAATTTAAATCCCTCATGTGCAACCTATACCTGGACCAGAGAGCAGTCATCAGAACAGAGCAGGAAAATACTACATGGCTCAAAATCAGGAAAGGAGTGCATGAGGGATGCATGCTATCTTCATATTTTTCTTATCTATATGCAGAGCAGATCATTTGGGAGGCTAGACTTTGAGGGGGAATGTGGCATAGAAATTGGAGGAAGACTCATCAACAATCTGTACTATGCAGATGACACAATCTTGCTTACTGAAACTGAGAAGGACCTGAAGCATTTGCTGCAGAGAGTCTAGGACTGTAACCTGCAATATATACTGCAGCTCAATATCAAGAAAATGAAGATCCTCACCACTGGGCCAATTGACAGCAGTATGACAGAAAAAAGATGGAGAGAGTTAACAATTTCCATTTGCTTGGTTCCACAATCAACACTCTTGGCACCAGCAGTTAGGAAACAAAAAGATGAATTACATTAGGAAAATCTGCTGTCAGGGACCTCTCCAGAGTACTAAAGAGCAACAATAATGTCAAACTAGAGACTAAGGTGTCCTTGATTCAAGCCATGGTCTTCACAATTAATTGTTATGCATCAAAAAGCTGGAAAATGACCAGAGAGGATAGAGGAATTAGTAAAGCCTCTTAATGGTGGTTCTGGAGAAGAGTATTGAACATATACTATGAACTGCCAAGAGAACTAACAGGTCTGTCCTGTAGAGGGTGAAGTCAAGCCATTCTAGGAGGCAAGGATTTTCCATCTGACATACTTAGTGCATTTCAAAGGGATCAGTCCTTGGAGAAAGACATCATGCTCCTAAGTGTGGAGGGACTGCAGGAGAGGAAGACCCAGGATGAAATGGACTGACATAGTAACTGCAGTAATGAGGGTAGATATGTCAGAGACAGTGAGATTGGCCCAGGATGGAGCAGGTTTCAGAGCTACTGTTTATAGTGTTGCTATGAGGTGTGACTGACTCGATGGCACACAACAACATTCAAGGAGTAGGGAGCTCCGGTGGCCTAGTGACAAGGACCTGCACTGCCATATCAAAGGCACATGGTTCAAGTACATGAGCTGCTCCATCAAGAAGGATGTGCAATCTTGCAATTTACTGCCTCTGAAAATCCACTGGAGGGTCAAGCATGGCTCAGTTCTGGCTCGATGGTACATAACAACAACAACATTCAGGAAGGTTTGGGGATTCAAGATGGAAGGGCCTGAGTCTGGTTTCAAACTCTAGTGAAGATTAGTTTCAACTTTTGTGTCAGAAATGGTGCAGATTTCTGAGGATACAGAATATCTTCCCTTAATGAAGTTCCTGTAGAAGACACGGTTATAAAACCTAATAAAGCAGAACATGGTAAACCTCTAGGAGACATTCAAACTATGGCAGACAGGAAGAAAGTATTATCAGTGAAAACACACTAACACTTGAAGCTGGAGAAGACACTGGGATAAAAGCAGCATTTGAACTGGTCAGATGATGATGACAGCTTCTCAATGAGGAAAGGGAATGAAGGATATGGGAGGGGGATCTAGGTGTACCAGGTAATTCCAGCTGCATACCCTAAGGGAGGTCATGGAGGCAGGAAAGGTGAAAAAAAAAAAAAGAACAGAATAGACTCAAGGGTTGGTGACCAGTAAAGCTTGGGTGCCTAAAGTTGGACTTAAGAAAGTGCTAAGGGAGACTGTTATTATGTGTTGTCAGTAACCTGCGACTCATAGCTACCCTATGTACAATAGAACTAAACCCTACCCCAATTACCCCAATCAATGAATTAATCTACCTTACAGAGGGTCTTCTACTCCTGCACTGGCCCTCTACCCTCCCAAGCATAATGTCCTTCTCCAAGGATTGGTCACTCCTTATAACATGTCCAAAGTATGGCAGAGAAGCTTCAGAATTCTTGCCTCCAAAGAGCAGCCTGGTTTAACCCTCTCTAGGACTAACCTGTTTGTTTTCTTAGGAGTGGATGGTATATTCAATATTCTTCTCCAACACCACAGCTCAAAGGCATCAATTCTCCTTCTATCATCTCTAGTCATTGTCCAGCTCTCTGATGCATAGCAAGTGATTGTAACATCCATGGACTGTATCGGGTGCAACTTAATATCCAGAGTGACATCATTGCTCTTAATTACATTGGAGAGGTCTCTAAAAACAGACTTTCCCATCACAGTACATCTTTTGATTTCCTGGATACTGGTGACAAAAGTGTTGACTGTGGAGCCAAGCAAACTAAAACTGTTAACAGTCCCTATCTCTTCACCATCCATCACAATGCTGCCAATTGGTCCAGTGGTGAGAATATCTGTCTTCTTGACACTGAACCTCAATCCCAATTGAAGGCTGCATTCCCTGACCCTCTGCAGAAAGCACTTCAGGTCCTCCTCAGTTTCAGCAAGCAGGGTTGTATCATCTGCATAACGCCGACTGTTGATGAATCTTCCTCCAATCCTCATGCTACATTTCTCCTCATACAGCCCAGACTCCTGGATATCTGTTCTGCCTATAGACTGAAAAGGTATGGAGATAGGACACATCCCTGGCATACACCCTTCCCAATTTTGAACCATGCAGTGTTTCCTTGCTCTGTTCTGACAACTGCTTCCTGGTCCAAGGATAAGTTT